CAGTTTGCACTTTTTAAATAAAAAAAAAAAAAAAAAAAAAAAAAAGAAATAAAAAAGGGGGGACAGGACATTTTATTCATTTGGGGAGAGACAGACAGAAATAACCACATGGTCTCTCCCAGCTCCTGTGTCCCCACATGGCCTTCTTCTCATAGAGGGTCTACCCCAACAGCCAGCCTATCACACCTCTGTGATTTCAAGAGTCACCCCTAAAACCAAGGCAATGTTGTGGTCATCTGGAAGGTCCCTTTTTGGGAATGATCTAGAGGAGGGTGATAGAGATGGTCAGAGCAAGGGAGGCTTGGCCAAGAAATTATGGAAATGCAGTGCTCGCCTCCAAAGAAACCGTAGCAAAGGGAAGAATAGGTGGATCTTCATGCAGGCTGGTTTGGGATGTCTCCCTCTGTGTTGTACAAGGTGGATGTTAAAGATGGAAAGGTGGGCAAGACCATGCTGGAAGAGGGTGGTGGTGTTCCTTGGGTGAGCAAGACTGGCAAACCTCACTGAGACTCTTTGCTTCTCCCCACCCAGGCTCTTCGGCTTTGTGGCCAGAAAGCAAGGGAGCACCACAGACAACGTCTGCCACCTCTTTGCTGAGCTAGACCCGGACCAGCCAGCTGCAGCCATTGTCAACTTTGTCTCCAGGGTCATGCTTGGCTCCAGCCAGAAGAGATGAGCGGGCGCTTGCGGGTGATCCTTGAATTTTGGAGAAGGACTTGGAGCTGATCCGAGAAGGAGTGCGAGGAAGTGCATTGTGGGAGAGGGAAGTGAATTGGGGGGGAAAAGGGTTGGAATTTTGGAGGAAAACAGCAAATAACAAAAGAAAACCCCAACAAAACCCCTAAAAACTCAGCACAAGCCAAACACACACATAGAGGAACCAAAGCCACGCACCTACATTAGAGCCACAAAGCCACGCCAGACAGGATGCATCATGTCCCTCCGCCTGGAAGGTGACCCAGGCAAAGGTGGCAGCGAGAGGCATGTTCCCAGCTTTCAGCATCACGGTCCTGAGTGGTGACATCCACTTGGGATGGAATGTGGGACCATGACTGGTGTTTTCCATCTGGAAAAAAAAAGAGACAACTGGCAAAACCCGTGGAAGAAGCTCAGCTCCAGCAGCTCCATTGGTGAACATCTGCCGCATGTTTGAAACAACCTGTAGGAGATAACTGGGCTGAGTCTGCAGGACACTGGAGTAGATGCCCTTAGAAATCTTCCCTTGCCTGGCTGTAGCAGAGGGTCATCACCAGCCCCCACACTTTTCCCAAAACCTCCCAGCTGCCTGGCAACTTGCTGGGGGCATGGGGGCTTTGTCCTGAGCCTTCCCTTTCCTGGAGAGCTTGGCCATGGGCTGACGTCTGTTGCTGACCCAGACCCCAGTGCTGGTCTCAGGTGAGCTGTTGTGAGTCCACCCAGAAAGGGGTGTCATGGCATTTCCCCACCTCCCTGGGGGTGCTTGTGCCCCTCAGCTCATGGAGAGGTATGGGTGGGCTTCTGCCACCCTATGCCTGGGAAGGCAGATGTTCTCTGGGAGCCTTCTGGGAGGATGCAGAAAGTCAAATCCTCCTTGTCTTCCACTTTGCCCTCCCATCACTAATCTTTAGCAGTTTTCTCCTGCGGCCTGTCACGTGTTCTCTTAACACAAAAGAAAACCGAAACAGAAGGGGTGGAAAAACAATGTAGTAAGAATAATAATAATTATAATAATAGCAGATGCTGGCACAGGTGGGTTCCCTGTGTGAAGCAGCAGACCCGTGGCTACCCCCATCTCGCTCTTCGGAGATGCGCAAGCGGTTGTTGAATTGCATGGACCTTCAAGCTGCACGAAAAGCAAATGACTACAAGTATCTCAGGCGCTTTTTTCTCCTTTTATTTTGGAGGCCACGTTAAAAAAAAGAGGGAAGAAAATATTTTAAAAAAACAACCACCAAACAAAACCACAAAAAAAAACAACCCCAAACAAAACAGGAGAGGATCTGCAGTCACTGGGCAACTTTGGCTCAGTGGGGAGGTGGCAGGTCCTCTAAGAGCCACCCTCCTTGGCACACATGTACCCCCAAGACTGGCTGGTTGGTGGCTGCACCATGGTTTTGCAGTGGCTTTGGTGCCCTTGTTTTTTTCCTTTTGTTTCAGGAGGTGAGAAGGGCCAGCTGGGGCATTAGAGGGGCAAAGGGCCCCTGTGCCACTGCAGTAGGGGGAGACAGCGGTTGGGGGGCAGCAAGCAGAGGTCCCAGCCCTGCAGTGCTGGGTTCAGGGGGGTACAGAGAATGCTTCGGTCACACGTGCAGGTCCATGGTGGGAGGAACAGTCATTACTGAGCTTTTTGCTGCAAAATATCCCCCTGAGAGCTCTTTGGGAGAAGTTTTCAGTGCAAAGTGGCCCAGATAGTTTATTTGGGGCAAAAATTAGAAACATAGCACTGCAGCCCCCTCCCCACCCCAGAAAGCTTACCTCCCTTGGACCGCCTTTGCCTTGATAGCTATAATATATATATGAGCTATACTGATGAAATACTGTAAGCTAACAAAATTTTAAGGAGGAAAAAAAGGTTGAATTTACACTCTGAAAATATTTATTTTTTGCCATATTGCTTTCTGTGCATCGTATCTCCCCCATTATATCTGCTATCCCTCCTCCCTTCCTCTGCCCCAGGGAAACACCTGCACGTTAAAAGATAATCCATTGCAAGGAAAAATAAGGATGGGGGAAGAGGCGCGGGGGTCCCCCCGTGTTGGGGCGGCGTGTGTGTGACCGGTGTGCGTGTGTGTGCGTGTGCGTGGGGAGCACGAGGGGTGGGTGCCCGGAGGCTGGACTCATGGACTGAAGCGAGTGTGAAAGGATATATAGTGAGGAGTTGGTTGTGAGATGGTGATGGGATGGAGGGTTCTGGAGGGGGGGGCTTTCCCCCCTCCTTGGCTCCCCAGCCCCACTGATGCGGAGACCTTTTCATTTTTGTTGTTTCCAAAAAGAGATTCCCTCCTTCTGCGAAATTCAAGTGAGATGAGAGATGATCTCACCCGTAATCTCCTCACCCTGCCGTTCAACGATTAGAGAAAACACTGTGTTTATAGATAGATAAAGATATATTTTTTGAAAGCCTCTATTTTTCAGACTTGGTTTTCTCACTGCTAAGAAAAGAGATGATAATAATGTAATTTTATTTTAATCTGCTGCCTTGGAAACTGGTGCTTGAAATTCCCGTTCCTCATTTTCTCCCCGTACAAACAAAGCAGATCTAAGCACCCCGAGATGTCACGCAGAGGCTGACCCCAGCAGATCCTGCTTGCTTTGGGCCCTGGGCCGCTCACGGCTTCCCCACTAACCCACTACCTGAAGATTTAGACCGTATCCAAATCTCAAACATTAACAAAGTCGTCTGATGATTATACTTTTATTTTTTTAACACAGAGCTTAATCACCTTCTAATGATGTAGCCGGGTGTTTGTCAGCTCCCTTAAAGGCACTTTTCTCCCCCCCCCCCCTTTTAA